CCATTATAACCCCAATATTCTAGTATTTTGCATTTTCTTTTCCATTATCCCATTATAACCCCAATATTCTAGTATTTTCCATTTTCTTTTCCATTATCCCATTATAACCCCAATATTATGGTAGTTTCCTGCTCCAAGAAAGACAGCTCCACGCCTCGCTTCGCTACACGCTCCGCTACGGGCTGCGGCATCACCGCCACTTCACGGCCATACCTGGGTCACACTTCCTCCGCTGAAGCGGGTATGCGTGCCCTTGGACGAGCTCAAGGTCTGTCTCAAGGGCACTTGGCGATCATGGCTTTCCCCATTTCGTACTCGTCCAGCTCTTCCTGGCGAGCCAAACAGAGCTCTTTGTGGAACTGGCTTGAAAAATTTTCGTCATTTCTTGAAAACACTTACCACATGTAGGGCCACGTGGTAAAAGAAAAGCCACCATTGACTCTATGCAGAAAGTGCTGTCTTGCAAGAATTGATGCCTCACGCTTCTGTCGCAGCGCCAGCGTTTTGTCTCGCAAATCGCTAAGGCGCTGCTTCCTGCAAAGGTGAGGCTAACGAGAATGCTTATGATCCTACTAACACTTGTACTAACACCGATATCGGAGCACGCATAGCTTGCTTCGCACTCTCAAGAAGGCAGCTGAAGCTCAGGACTTTGCGTCAGCGCCTTTGTCTTCGAGGACTTTTTGTTCTGGCAGCGCAGGGAAGTTTAGAGTCTGATGCTTGATTCTTTTCTGCAGGCTTGGACACGAGAGCATTTCCTAGGCATCCCCGAATGCAACTTCCATTCACGGCGAAAGCATGTAGAGCTGCCAGAGTAAATCATTACGAACACAACTATCTCATGAATGGAACTAGCAGCTGCCCCGGACCGCCTTCATGATGCTAGCCTTCTTCTTCCCAGCGCCATCCTCCAAAGCAGGCAAGAGCTACCTCCACCGCGGAAGCCTACGGTTGTCCGTTGCTGATTTCCGGCCACCCCGCGCTACAGTACCCAACAGCACTGCAAAAGCATGATCTTCAGGACCTCCTTGTTCTCGGGCGCGGCCTTCACCAGAGCTCTTACAGCTGCCGATGTTGGCAACAGTGACTAGGCGTCACAACATGAGAAGCATTGGGAAGCTCGCACTGTTCCCCAAGAGACCAAGCGTTGGTTCCATGATGAAGGCCGACACGAAAGCAACACAACACAAGCTAGATCTATCTTTTGAGAAACGTGCAAACTCTGCCACGCAACTTCTATCCCAAAACCAGCAGAAGTGCTACGTGCCTCGTCCCCGAACCCCTGCGAGAGCATCAGGGCTGAGTCAACGCACAGAAAAATGACTGCAAGAACTACTGTCATATCCAGCTGCTAATTTTCCAGTGGCTGGCAAGGTGCCTTGGACTCGGCAGACCTCAGAGACCGGCAGGAGAGCAGTGGAAGGCTGCTCGAATCAAAAACACGTTGGTTAGTGATTCCAATAGAAAGATCCCACCGCCCCCCCCCCCTCCCCCCAATAACGAATACTCCCCCTGAGATTTAATCATCTTATCGTACTGTACTTGGTGGGTTGACCACTTGAGGCAGGGCATTACATCAATCAACCACCTTGACTGAGATGAGGACCTCTGCATCGCAAGGGTTCTTGAAATAGGCACAACCTTGGCAAATGAAATGTTAAGGTTCAGGGTTAGCATTCAAGATTGAGGGTTTAGCCTTCAGGGTTTAGGGCATAGGGGTCTCTTTTCAGGCTGGCATTATGAGGGACCATGTTGTCAGAGATATAAAAGGAACCCCATTTGAGGAATTCCCACTTCTTGGGTTCCCTGATGCCCCACCCATACTTACGGATAATTGGTGGTTGGGCTTAGGGTTTAGGGTTTAGGATTGGGGGGTAACAAACCTTAAGCCCTAAACCCAAACCCAGGGGTAGTAGGGCGGCAACCCATGACACAAGCAGTTCTGCGAGCCCGGCCCCTACAAAGCTTGGCGCGGCCTGTCCAAAGCAGGTACAAAAAGGCTGCTAGAATGCCTTCCAAACCAGTGTACACAGACTTACTGGGGTTTAGGAGGTAATAAGGGAATATAATCCCAATATTATTCCTATACGGCTTAATAGGGAATAAGGGAATATATGATATAGGGATAATATGAGGATTCTGCTCCGTTATTCCCTACCAGTCCCAGAAAGTACAGGTAACTGTTGGGATCCCAGATATGCATTCAGAGTACGGCAGGATTAAATGGGGTTTGTTTGAAGGCATGTTGAAAAATGATGTGGAGAGACCTCCCCTTAGTCCTGAACAAGATCCGTGCCAAGCGTCGTCATGAGATGTCTCACTTAAAGCCTTCAAGTCCTAACTCTTGCAAATCCTAAAACCTAAACAACCGAACTTTGAAAAAGTCCGTCATGATGAAATCTCCTGCATCAACACCCTAAACCCTTGAATCTTTGAGAAACTGCCAGTTGAGTAGCGTTTTTTTGGTGGTTGAACCTAGTAGGATTATATTCCTTATATCAAATACCATACCCCAAAAGGAGGATATAATCTTACTCTATAATGGGTACCATAGTATCCCCAAATAAAATGATACTCAGTTGAGTTGCGCAGAGGCTGGGCCTGCAGAGCCAAACAGAGGCCCCCAGAGGCCACAAGAAGGCCCCGGAGCCACCTGAGAAGGCTTTGGGGGCTAGGGTTTAGGGTTTAGAGTTTAGGGTTTAGGGTTTAGGGTTTAGGGCTTCTCATACTTCCGGTGCGGGTTACTATTTTGGGGGGGTTCTAATGACAAGGACTATAGAGAAGGTTATCACAATTTCTATTACTTTGATTACTGCTATTACTGTTGTTGAATAATACTATTAATATTGAGAAGGATTTAAAAGGGCGCACAGGGGCCAAAATGGACATGCTATGCCACTCGCTCTGAAGCGGCCCCTTTTGCTGCTTAGGCCACAAAAGTCTTGGTCGAACGTAGCAGCCAGAGCTCATCCAAATGAAAAGGGATAGGCTCATCCCAAGGCTGCGGACAACTCCGGGCGGGAGGGAGGGTGAAATAGCTACGCACCTCTCTCATGACACAGCATGTTTAAAATGCTATGCCACTCGCTCTGAAGCGGCCCCTTTTGCTGCTTAGGCCACAAAAGTCTTGGTCGAACGTAGCAGCCAGAGCTCATCCAAATGAAAAGGGATAGGCTCATCCCAAGGCTGCGGACAACTCCAACCGTAACTAACCTGGCCCTTTCTGGAACAAGAAGGCGCCAGCTAGTAGCGCGTTTGCATGATAGATCCATGCTTCCAGACAGCGAAATCAAATGGTGGACAGCAAATGAGTCAGCATAGAAGATGCAGATTGCACTGCATTCTTTTAAGGTTTTGACAGTTTTCCCAACACAGCTTCAGCGGCCATCTCCTGCAAGTAATGTTGCAAGGTTGCAACGTGCTGGATACGCATCTTCCAAAGCAAATCTTGAACGGGAATTCCAGACTGATACGCATGTACAGCTGCACCTCCGTGGATGCAGCCCGGTGTCAAAGAAAGCGTTTTCTCAATGCCAAGCACACTGAGGATCTCGTCCCATCTTCGTCTGAAGGTGTGAGCAGAGTACGGAAACAGTGCAAGTTTGGGATCCTGATTCTTGAAAACCCTCTCACAAGCGGAAACGAGTTCCAGGTCAACGACAGTGGTGTGTTGTTCTCGCCCGCCCCCTCTCCTCATGGACTTCGGATCTCGCACTTTCAGGTAAAGTCGGTCAACCTTGTCGGATAGAAGGTCCGAAGGCAGCACCAAGTCGCCCCTGGAGGCTCGAAGAACTTCACCAACTCGAAGTATGCCCTTGAGGAGTACGAGTGCAAACCTCGGCCATCTCCAACCAATGGCAACAGCCGCCATGGCCCTGCAAGCCGGCCACGGGAACGGTAGCCGATGAACAAGTGGCTCCAGGGACTCCCACTTAGTAATAAAATCCCAACACACCTTGGAGTGGAACTTAAAATCGGGGAACCTCCTGACCGCAAAAGCAACAAGGTGCCTAAACGCGGAGAGAGTGGCACCAGCTTTAAACAGGTGGTCACCGTAGAGCTGGAGCAGCGGTGCCACCGTAGCCGAAGCACTCGTGAGAAGTCGAGCTGTTTCACCGTCACAGTCCTCAACGACCCAGCTTAAGAAACCTTCCCAAAGCGAAGTCTCCAACTTCAGTATCTTTTCCCGAACCAGTTCGACAGCATTCAGCTGTACTCCGGCACGTCTGGCGGCGCGTTGCGAAGCTGTGGTTCTCCGAGGTCCGGGCCCCTTTGCCTCACCAATGCGGGAGTGCGTGCATTTGGCGCACTCGGTCCCATTCAGGCGGCGGAACTCTGGCCGATCTCCAGATGCGCCGCTGAGGCCCATAGTAATTGTTGCGCAAAGAGCCTTCGGATACGGTTCGCCAGCTTTGTCAACAGTTGCCGCCTCTTTGGGCACCTGCCTCTGAGCAAGATGTGCTGCCTACATCCGCCGCACAAAGTCTTTTGGTCCCTCAGCCCAGTGTTGGTGAGCAGTCTGGCCCTTTTTCTCCAAGCTGTGCCAAATCTGCAAAAGTCAAACAACCAGAAACCAACTTCGGGGTGGGTGAGCAGCTTTTTCGGTATTCTGGCAGGTACCAAAGATATGACGCCCAGGGTTCTCGATCCAAAAGGGCAGCTGGAGTTCCAAACACAATTCGGCAATTTCGGCAACAAACCTTCCAAATTCGTTACCTTGATCAACTTTCACCTGCTGGTGCAGCAAAAGTCCTGGTAGACCCTCAGGAACCGCAAAACTTCTCCATGCGGGAGTGATCGCTCTTGACATTGAAGCACAAACCGGTGCGGCACCTACACCCACGATTGAGCCACTTTTGATGAGTTGTTTAACTTCCTCCTGAACTCTTGGAGACAACAAATCTTGCTCAGCAGAATCCTTAATGTCATACGTGATGACCCATCTCCCTGTCAGTCTCGCCAGCTCCAGAGCCACACCATGAGACCCAGAAAAGAGATCGATATACCCTGGCTTGTGAATGACAGTCGCTGGATCAACCCCAACAAGAAATACTTGGTTACCCCGTAATGGCTGTCCTGGTAGCAAAGCTTCAGGATGACATGATGTTGGCCGTGGATTCCTGTCGGGGGCGTTGATGGTCTGTTCGGAGGGCTGGTTTACGAGGTCTCTGAGCTTGGAGTTCGTTGCCTT